ATCGACTGAGATGGTTAGGACATGTGTTACGCATGCAATCCTAGCCATCGCCTTCCTCGACGGGCAATGTTAGCTGATATAGGGTCAGACTGGAAAAGAGCTATCGGCGGTCAAACGAAAACATGGCACCAGTCAATGAAATCTACAACAGTTAGTTTAAGCTAGCCACGTAGGAAGGTGTAGACTTCCTGACTGCATGGGGTCCTCGGGACGGTAAAAACCAATGGTTGGAAACAATTGGTGACATGGCTTAAAATCGTTCTCAGTGGCGCAGATGCATCCACTCCTTGTGACTTATGATTTCCAATTAAACTGTTTTGTTCTTCATTATTACTATTTCTTTGTCTCACACCTCTGTTTACTGTCTATATCATTCATTTCTCCTACTTTCTCTTGCTTTGTGTGCTACATGGAGTGCGGTGACTTGAACTCCCGCACATATGTGCAAAGTTCTATGTCGAAAACAGACAGACAGACAGATGAGGAGGTCAGAGATTATTGGAGATCGTAGGCCCAGATGTAGAGGATAGTAGAAAATGGAAGAAAGTTGAGACATATTTTTGAAGCCCTATGCTCCACTCGGAACTCAAGGGAATATCAATCATGTGAGTGTGACTGCAGATCATGGCACTTTGAGACCCATTGATGTTTCTTAAATTGTTCTTTAACCTACCCCTAACCCTAACTATAATTCTATATCTCAATGCAAACTATAAGCCTAATCCTACCCTTAATTTAATCAGGTTAAGGTTTATAAACTTAAAAACACAACCCTAAGAGTATAGAGCAAAGTTAAACTTTAAGCACCAGTAAGTAACAAAGTACAAACGACCTAGAACATACCAACCACATGATAAAGGTGATTTTTGCGTATAAAATACATATACATTCTGGAAAATAATGAATTAAAAGGCATGAAACTGTTACACAGGAAACCTTTTGCTGATGTGTGACAAAATTGGTTCTCAGTTTTGGACTGGAGTGTCAACAGAATAATGTAACCACATTCTGTGCATGTGGTCTTCTAACCCTGACAAATAACCCGAATCTTTCCTTAAACTAACTCCAAAGTGAAAATCTCCCTGAACTAACCCTAACCTAACTCGAACCAACTCATTTGGTTAACCTAACCCCAACTTTCCCTTGGCCTAAACCGTAACTTAATCTTTCCCAAACCTAAGCTGAAACTTGCTAGATATCCCGTTTAATAACACAAAACCTCATTAAGCATATTTTACTCATGATTACAATTTTATTTACCGAGTCCCACTAACTTGCTTAATGAGCATTCCAAAGTAACTGGTGCGGTAGCACTCCATTGGCATTTACTAGTGCTTAAAGTTTAACTTGGTTGAGTATGGATTTACAGAAAAAGTACCTAGGGTACAAGTCGAATACTGGACACATGAGATGCGAACGCACAAGTAACTTTGAGCCGACCGATAATAAAATAAGTGATTTTTACACGAAAAAGACGATAAGTTACAAGAAAATCCATGAAAACACATTAAACTGGGTATCCTTCTCTGACATGACTTAAACATACGTCCCAGTTATAGTCAGGAGTATCAGTTCTTAAGTTAGACCAGTGTCTCTACATGTATTCACCGAGACGACTCAACGTGAGGTTTCTTTGTGACCCGTTTATCGCTCTTACCCTGTTTTTCAGTCTTCCCAAAAAGCTCTCGGTTGGACTACTATGGTTTTCAGTAAGAGGATCGACGACTACTTAATTGGAAAATGTGGATAATAAAACAAATTCAAATAAATAATGCGAGCTCTAAACCTATGCCTAATTGCAACCCTGACCCTACTTATAACCCTGATCCCAATATTTAACCTAATCCTTACGAGCTATCAACACATTGTCAAAAGTACTTAAAACCGTGATCTGTGTGGAATTTGCTCCTTAGTGGGTGAATACCGTTCATATTTGTGCTATAATAATGATCGGTCTAGTTGTTCAACGACTGGCATGAGTCCAAGGTCCAAAAAGGTAGGCATGATTTGATTTGGAAAAACCTTTCATTGTGCCCTCTAAATCTCATTAGTTCTCGAAGGACAGCTTTGACAGACCTTGACCTTGGCTATGATAGTTTGACTTCGCCAATGCCTACTCAAACTTGTTGCAGAAGGTTCAAAATAGATGATAGGTAGACGGCTAAATGAACACTTAGTTTACATGCTTTAATAAGATCATCTCTTTCCCTACCATGTGATGATCAGAAATTTGAACTTCTAAACCAATTTGCGTAAGAGTGATGTGAGATTCCTTCCATTAACCCACTCGGTGAATTTTTTTTGGAACCTGGGATATGTGGGTAAAAACGTGGGCAGCTTTCCGTTTAAATTTGGGCAAAGTTAGGAAAATTCCATATTAGTTTGTTTAATACATATATCACACAGTGAAACAGTATTATTGACACCAATATCCCCAGTTGTAGCAGATATAATCATGGATAAGTGGGAAAGAATAGCGATTAAAACGTTCACCCCCACTCCAAAAGTATGGTGGAGGTATGTAGACGACTCATTCACTGTACTTAGAACACAAGATATAGATAGATTTTTCGAACACATTAACTCAAAGGTTGAAGCAATTCAATTCACTTATGAATTGGAAAATCAGGAAGGGGAGCTCCCAATGTTAGATTGCAACGTAAAAAGGAAAGAAGGAGGGAAGTTAAACACTAGTGTTTGCAGGAAACCCACACACTCATTTATCCAGTAAATAATACTGTTTCACTGTGTGATATGTCTAATAAACAAACTAATGTGGAACTACTTACTACCACAGTGCCCAAGTTTTACACATATATTAAAGTTGGGAAAAGGTGGGCTGTTTTTGGTTGTAACATGGGTGAAGTGAGAATAAGTGGTCTATTTTAGAAATAAACATGGCTAAAGTGGGAAAAAGTGGGGAGTGTTATCCACTAGACCACTTGGGCCACATGGGGGTGGATAGTGTTCGTTGAGAAGGTGGGTAAACTGGGAAAAAGTGGGACAATAAAATTTTTCAGGACATGGGCAAACGGGGAAAAAGTGGTCAATATGGGTAGCATTTACACAATCTTTGGCCCACCTATTTGCCGATCAAAATAACCCATTTAGCTCACGTTTGAGCCACATTGCCCAGGTGCATTCTCTGACTGGGTTTAACATTAATGTTAATTAGTTTAGCACAGGGAAATAGTAAATTTTGATACCACCAAATAGTTTCAATGCAGTTCACTCGTGTATTTATAAATACAGCCCGTTGCATAATGGTGCTAGTTGGGTAGTATTGTATAACAGAATCAAACCATATTTGAATTTAGAAAAAACACATTCACACGAGAGAAAAAACACTCACTTACCCGCCAAAAACTATCCAAAGTTACTGTTTGTGAACCAAGTGCAGACTGAACAACACAAGTTCCAACTTTAGCCAGTAGTGAAGATACCATGTTTATGATATGAAAGGCACGTACAAGTTATAGTATTATAACGTCTCTGATACCATTGTCTTAGTCATATAAAGAAAGACTGGATTCCTCCTATTGATTTATTCATTGTTTTCTCAAGGTTAAAAATAATAACCAATCAAAATAGCCTTCATCCTAATCTGATTGGTGGAAAATTAAAGCATGTGATTGACCTAAAAAAAGGTTTGTCACATTCAATCTTGACCCTGAAACAGCTGACTTTTCAGACACGTTATCTCCTACCGTGGATTGCTAATATTGAATTTGTCATCGTCTTGCTAAAAATCATCAACTTTAAGTCTATTAAAATCAAAAATCCTTTTTACTCAAAACATATTTTATTCAAAATGAACATGAAAATTCATTTGTGAAGTACAATTAGAAGAAGCGGTAAACTATGTACAATCATAGCATCAAACTGATTAAAATGACGTTGTTGTGTATAGAATATACAGTAACACATTGTCAGGTTTTGTTAGTTAGTTAGTTAGCTAGTTAGCTTATTTTTTGTTGAGACGAATAAAAAGCTAAACTGAGATATATAGTTATAGCAATTGTCTGGTCATTCGTATCAGCTTCGATCAATTATTGTTATTCTTGTATAGAAATGTTGACTCATGTTTCCTCTCTATCTCATGAAGCATTAGGTTTGCTTCTCTCACTCACACACACACTTCGTCTCTTTAAAGGAATTTCATGAATTCTCTTTGTTTTTTTTCATTGTATCTCATATCATTCAACTCAGTCGTATAAGCAACATCGAAGGCTATGACATCCATTAGAAAGAATATGATGATAATAATAATAATAGTAATAATGAGATGAGAAGAAGCATAACCAGAAGCATGACGAAGAAAAATCAATTCAAAGTTTCTGGCATTTCAACTCATTTACCGCTTTCTCTTCATTCTTCCTTTCTCTTCAGTACTACTTAAATATGCACTATTTAGAAGAAATCCAATAATAATAATATCAATAATAATAATAATGAAACAAATATTAAGTGACCAAAAAAATACAAGAACCGAAAAATATAAAATATTTATACCATTTGTTCATTGAACTCAACTTTTGATTGAATACAACTTAATTAATACAATTAGTTAAAAGGAAAAAAAGGTGAGTTATATAACCAAATTAACTAACTGAGTGAGTAATAATATATTATATTATATAATATTATGTTATGCATATATTATTGTATCTATGTAGTTGTATATTATATATGTATATGTTTTATGCATGTAGATATATATATGTATGTTTTATGGATAGATAGGGGGTAGTTAATTAATTTTTTTTACAATGAATAAAATTATGATGAAATGAAAAATAAATAAATCGTGAAATTTCACTTCACGGCATTTTAGTTTACTCAAATATAGATATTTATCACATATATATTGTATAATATTGTATAGATGAGGTTATATACACCAGTATATATGTGTGCACTTGTGTCTGTCCGTCTCTCTCTATCTATTTATCGATCTATCTATCGATTAATCTGAAAGAATCCATTTTCTATCCTTATTATTATGTATCATAATTTTGTCCATTTATTGAAGCGTTTTTAAGTAAATTGGTTTTCTTTGATACATTTTTTGATTTATCCGGTGATGTTGACGATGATGTCATCATTGAATTCATATGCGTTGATTGTTGTATTGTCAATGCACCCGAGAATGAATTTGATAACTCTTTTGGTATATCATGTGGATTATTATTCATTAATATTGATTTTAAATTTTTAGGATTATTATTTATACTTTCATTCGTTAAATTATTATTCATTGATGAAGGATGATTCGATGTACCATTGGAATATTGAACAGGTGTTTGTTTAATTGATGTGTCTGTAATTGGCGGTTGTGTTGAATTTGAACGGTGATTCTGTTGTTGTTGTGATGACGATGATGATGGTGGCGATTTTTGTTGACTATAATTTGTTACTGATGATAGATTATTATTCACAAATTCATTTGAATTTAAACCATTTTGTTCATTTGTTGTTGAATATTGATTATTTATCAATGTTCCATTAGGCAGTGGACTTGATTCCGATTGTGGTGGCACTGATGAAGGTGGCTGTTGTGTTTGCAGTGGCGGTTGTGGAGCTGCTGGCGGTGGTGGTGGTGTATTCGATGTAGATGAACGTAATTTACTATTTGGTGTTGTTTTAAAAGAGACTTGTAATACACGATTACCTAAGGCAAAACCATTTAATGAATGTATTGCTAGCAAAGCTTCTTCATAATTACTCATTGTAACAAAACCAAAACCTTTACATTTATTAGTCATTGGATCACGAATAATTTTCACTGTTTGTACAGCACCGAATGGACCAAATAATTGCCATAAATTAGCTTCTTCTGTTTCTGGAGCTAAATTATACACAAATATACACCAACCGGTTGACGTTAACGCTCCAGAACTGGCAGCTACAGCCGGTGCTAACAATGGATTGACAACAGCTGCAGCACTAGCCATTGCTGGAAGGAAATCAGCAGCTGTAGCAGCAGGTGAACCTGGAGATACAGGTGAATTCCCTGCCAGTACACTAGAATACTTTAAACGATTGGAAAGAGATGCTATCTGTTGTAGAGGATTTAATAGGCCAGCAGCTGCAACTGCTGTTGCCGCAGCGGCAGCACTTGCAGCAGCAGCACTACGTGTTGGTGTTGGACTAACCACAGAGGCAGCAACTGATTGTAGTTGGGCAGCTTGTTTCAACAAGACTAAACTAAAACTATCATGTTTTATTGAATTTGGTGAATTAGCAAATTTCACTGTGATTGGTTCATTCGGCAGTCCGTTTGGATGATCTGATGGGGCTTGATAACCATTTAATCGATGTATAGCTAATTCAGCTTCATGACGTTGATCAAATCGAATAAAGGCAACACCACGTGATAAGCCTGTTTTATTATCATATAATATACGTGCTGTAATAATACGACCACATTGATTAAATAATTCTTCTAATTCACTTTGTGTCATTTTTTTTGGCAGTCCACATATATACAGATTTGCACCTTTTATTGATTCTGAACTAGGTCGTGCTAATGATACTTTAATTGTTTTATTCTGTAAACGTAAACCATTCAATGTACGTATCGCTTTCTCTGCTTCATATGGATTAATATACTTGACAAATGCATAACCTAAGCTTTCACCAGTCACTTTCTCTCTGACTAACTTACAACTTTCAACTTCACCAATACTTGAAAATAAGGCTTTCACTTCTTCTTGTGTCATAAATGGTGGTAGATAATTCACAATTAAATTTGTCTTATTATTATTATTATTACTAGAAGTGGTAGTATTAGTATTACTACTACTATTATCATTCACATGATCGATATTTTGATTATCAATAGTATTGTATGCGGTATTGTTAGGGGTCAACTGTGGATTAGTACTCCCACTACTGTTCATATTACTCTCCGTAGCTGTAGTTGTAGTTGTAGTTGTACACCAATCATCATGACTACCATTCACTGGAATCGATTCCTGGACTGGATAATTCGCAGAATTACGAGCTGATTTATAATCATACGTTGAGGCTGGTGTTGTATTATTAGGACTAGTACCAGTGCCATGACTATGAGTATAATTTATATTAGTATTCATAGTATTACTTGTATTATTATTATTATTGATAAGGATAGCTGATTTTCGATTAGTTAAGAGATTTCGACGTCCATAATTATTGTTAATATGACTGTAAAAAGATGATGTTTCTGTTGGTTGACCTGACGAATTAGTCAATGTTGTCTGTTGTGGTTGTTGAGGGTGTTGAGGCTGTTGATGTGTATCGTGATTCTCATTGGCTGACAATGATGCATTTATTGATTTTATCCCATTTTGAAAATAATATGTTCCATGATTACTGTTCCCACCTGTATTACTATTACTATTAGTAGAAGTATTGATTTTTTGATTGCCACCGCTAACATTACTGTAACTTTCGTTAATATTACCACCATTGTTATAATCGATATTATGACCATCTGTAGTATAACTTTTGATATCTTCTTTGAAGTTGTTCACCTTTTCATGATTTATTAAATCTGGATTTTTTATTGTTTTGCCTAATGATGTTAACATTTTTGTAGATGTTGTAATGACTGAATTATTTTCTTGAAAATTATATTGTTCTGCAGGAAGAAAATACAATAAATCAATAAAATTGATTAAAGATGCTTAGACAAAGGAAACCTCGCAACACTCTACCAAACAACTAGGTTCCTGTCGGGGAAGAGTTCAACACACATTAAGCCAGTGAAGGATGACATTAGAAAATCAGTGGAGCAAAGGAAACACTGGGCAGAACACTTCAAAAATATTCCTAAATCGACCGCCACCTACAGCGAAAGTAGAACGACTACGGGGCGACACCAACAACTATACATCTCATCCGACAGTTGCACGACAATGCTGCATGCCAAATGATCCACAACGAGAAAATCATGGAATGCTTCGAGGTGAAGATGGGAGCAAGAAAGGCTGGCTGCCTACTATCTGTAATGGTTTTCCTGACTGCGGCGGATTGTATAATGCGACAGACAGCGGACAGCGAGGAAAGAGGCATAAAATGAAACCACACAAAAACTTGGAGGGTCTGGACTTCGCCGATGATATATGTCTGAATTCCCACAAACTGGAAGAAATGCAAGTGAAAAGCAACAAGTTGGTAAAAGAAGCATCCAGAGAAGATAGGACTTCCTTCAGGTGAACATAGAGAAAATAGAGGTGAAGGAGATTACTGGCCAACAGCCACAACAACAACAGACGACAATCAGCATAAATGGGAAAAACTGAATCTGAAAGAAACAACCTCCTTTACCCACCTACCTAACTACCTGGGAAGCATCGTTTCAAATACAGGCGGGCGGAGCTAATGAGGATATCAAAGCGAGGATCATTGGGAAAGCAGGGCAAGCTTTCATTACTCTCAAGTCTGTGTGGAGGTCAACAACACTCAGCATGAAAAACAAGATGTGTACTTTCAATTCTAATGTGAAGTCAGTACCACCCAATATACGGATCAGAGACTTGTCACCGCGTCACGAAGGCCACTTCGAACAAACTACAGACTTTCATCAACAGCTGTCTTCTCTGAGTACTACTTACGGTCAGATGGCCGGCCGGAAAGGATCACAACAGGGATCTCTGGCAATGAACGAACCAACCAACCGGTAACCCACTGTGCAACAAAAATGCATGAATAAATGGAGTTGGATTGCTCATATTCTGAGAAAACCATCAAATGACATCACACGCCAGACCATCACTGAAGTAGAAACCAAATGGAAGGCGGCGAGTTGGTTGTCAGTGCGAGGGTGGAGTGACATGAAGGAGGTCATTTGAAGAGGAGATGAAAGCATGTTGGCGGATGTGGAGTCAGATGAAAACGTTGGCAGAGAACCAGACGCAGTGAAGACGTGCGGCTGAAACCCTACGTTCCTCTAGGAATCAAAGGAAACAATAATAATAAAGATGCTCACTTCACCATGCATATACCTGTTCACTTGCTCGTTTGGAGTTGATTACATTGGCCGTACTATGTGTTCGCTAGTAAAACGCTGTTGGGAACCCTAACTGACGTGACTGGCTTGAAAAGAGAGAGCATCTGATGAATTCATGATATTTATTTCTACTTGAAAAACCCTTTAAGGTCGTATACAAGATCCTATCAAACCTCTCAAATGGGATGAAATCAAGGCATCTAGACAAAGATGAGGCACTAATGATCGAAAAGTTCAAGCCCACATTTTATACATCCAACTGTTGTCCCTACCACCATAAAAAGTCAATCCTCTCAATAATGATTATCCTTTTACCCTTCTTATTCTATCTTCCTGTTCATTTCTGTTATTTTTACGTTTAAAAAAAATTCCAATCTACACTACTATGATTTTTTATCCGAGCTTCCTGTCTACTTTGGTATTACTATGTCTTAAATCCCTTGTTGCACAAACAGTCAAGTTTCTCGGTAATTATGATCTAACGATGTTTTCTTTTATCCGTATTCCTGTTTGTTACACTTTGTAATTTTATTAATTTGACCCTAAACAGGAAATAGTTATAGTGTTGTGAGAGCTGGATGTGAGCCAAAAACTGCAGACAGCGATTTACGCCAATGTTTACGTCCCGAATCAGGGGCATGAGAAAGCTATAACAAAGCTTAACCTTGAGGAACTCAACAACCAATGACAGCAGACTTAACGTGTGCAAATACGATTCGCAGATATATGACTTAACTTTCCGAGAAACAGTCACAAGTAGTACAAAGTAACCTTCAGCAAAACCAACCAGTCAGAAGACGCTGCTTCTCAGCTGACAATAAGGTACATAAAAATCTATAAATATCTGTTGATTTTCACAATAAACGACCTGTTTCCTGGCCCTCATCTGCTGACGTTACACTAGAACTTTCTCCCCCAATCCTTATAAATACACAAATGTACAGCGGTCTGTCGTCGAAAAGAAAATTTTCTTCACTAAAAACGGTCTTTTCAATAATTCCTATGATCTAATGTGTATTCATAATAGTTAAATAGTTATCTTTTAAATAATATTGAATCAATGATAACAAGAGATAACAGTCGTTAGACAGTCGGAAGGAATGGGCTGGAAGCTCGGGATCTAAGTTTCATGATTGTTGGCATTCGTCAGTAAGGAATATCTGCAATATTGAAAAAAGCTGGTGTCCCTTCGGTAATCTAGACTCGAGTCACTCAGTGGTACTGTCAGAAACGTTATTTATGAGCTATCTGGGGTCCTGACGGACCTCATGTGGGACTGTAATGGATACTTTGATTGGACACTCATTAGGTAGGAAGTAATGTCATGCACTAAGAATTTAGTTCGCACCAAACAAAGGACTAGACGCATAACATTAATCAATACCAAGTGTCTAATCGAAGATTATCGATTAAAAGTATCTATAGGTAATAATATGCATCAGTATAACACTGAAGTGATTGAATATCAGGTAAGTTAAGAAAGATAATACAGGATTTATAGATTCCACAGTAGGTTAGGGTAGCAGCAGCAGCTAGATCTGTCACTTTTACAATAGGAGCTCCGGTTGTTTCAAGCCAATTGTAATTGTATCTAATGTTTCAAGTATTAGGTACCTGGAAGTTTTGGAAACTTATTTTGTGCGCAGAAGGAGAAGCTAAGTTCAATGTAGACTGTGGAGATTGAGAAGACAGGAACACATTGGACCACCAATAAGAAGACTTTAGAAGATCTGGATTTCTCAGATCACTTATGTTTAATGTCACACAAACTCGAAGACTTACAGGCGAAAACTAACAAACTGGCTGAGGAAGCAGGCAGCAAAGACAGGACTCCAAGTAAAAATACAGAAGATGGAGGTGATGAAGATAACCAACCAACAACAAAAACAAGAACAAATCACCATCAACGGAAGAGATTTCACAGAGGTTAGTTCCTTCACTTATCTAGGAATCATCGTTTCAACTACAGGCAATCAGAACGGGTGAAGATATCAAAGCCAGCCAGAATCGGAAAGGCAAGATACGCCTTCATCAACTTGAAACCAGTTTGGAAATTCTCTCCATTCAGTCAGTATGAACAACAAGATTCGGATTTTCAACACCAGTGTTAAGCCGGTCACTTCTTCCATACAGGTCAGAAACTTGCACTGCATCTCATGAAACGGATTTCCAACAAGTTACAAACTTCTGTCAGCAGCTGCCTTCTCCGGCTCCACACGAAAGACCAAATGGCCAGCTAGTCAGAAAGAATTAGCATAAAGAAACTCTGCAGTGGAACAGACCAACCAAGAGCCGACAGCTCAAATAGAGATGGACTGGGCATACGCCACTGAGAAAGCCGTCAAATGACATTGCGCGCAATGCAAGCCATCTCTTGTGTGGAATCCCAATGGGAAGCGACAAGTGGATCGTCGTTGCGAGGGTGACACGAAGGAGATCGTGTGAGGAGGAGATCAATGATTATGGCCAATAGTGGAGCTAGTTAGCTGAAGAGGTCAGCAGAAAATAGAACGAAGTGGAGATGTGTTGTTGAAGCCCTATTGTTCAACTCAGAACCAAAAGAAACAACAATAATATAACAACGTCATTGGATAGCAGCTGGATTGACACATAGATAGATACCAGAATAGTTAACTAGCCCAGATATTTCTTCTTCCAGTCGTGGAATTTCAACTGGTTGTATGACAGTTAAATCTCCGAAAGCCTCCAGGTACCGAATACACCAAAGAACAGAAGCTATTACTATTCACTCAAAATTACCGGAGCTCTTTTTGCAAAAGAAATAAGTTCAGTTCAGATACTATTGTTACCGTGGCCTTTTGTGAAACCTACAAACTTATAAATATCGTATTATCTTTCTTAATATATCTGACGCTCTGTCTAGTGTTATGTTACTATTTATAGTATCAAGCACTTGTTTGCTCAAGCAGCTACTCAGAAATTGAGTAGTTTGAAGTGATTCGGCTCTGTGAGCTTACTCACACCACTTACATCACTGATAAATTTGTCCCCAAATGGTAGTTGGGAGTTTAGATCACAAAAATCTAGCTAGCAAGCACTGCTAGTATACACCTACTCATTTCGATTAGTTAGTAGTATATACCTTCCAGGAACTAAAGTTTTATAAATGCATATTATCAACTATAGACGCCCTTGATTCGATATTGTTTAAAACATAAATATTCTTCATAACAATAATTAAAACTAAAATATTTCTGAGTATAATCATAGTTAAATGTCAAGTGGCAAAACAAATTTATGTCATATATAGAATAATTCATAGGATGGATAGAACTTGATAAAGGGTGTGCAATTATAAGATTAGTAGACAAATCGAATAAAATAAAAACGTTACGTAATAGTGTGAAATTTGATAACATAGAATTTAACGTTGTAAAAAAGAAGAATTGATTTAGAATGACAAGTGGAACAAGTGAAATAATACCGAGGACAGTTCAAAGTGAGAATAGTAATAGTAACAACTGACGTAATAAAGGAAGAGTATACAAATTGAATAGACAAAATGAAAAATGATAAATTGGTAGAGCCAAAATATGATTGGGTATTACCATACTATAGCATCGAGGGATTTAGACCATGAAAGTTGGAGGGGTTGCATGAACTTTTTCTGTACACAGAGATTGGGCTTTTCTGTTTCGATAGCCAAGGCTTCAGCAATACAGATGAGTCGGGTACGTAGGGATTTGGGTAAATTACTCTTTGCCTTGCAGATGACTTTGAAGGCGGAGACTATAGAGATAGGGTGATCATTATCAATCAGATGTTCAATGATCGCGCTTCTATGGTAATCCCCAATCATATTTTGGCTCTACCAATTTGTCATTTTGTCATTTTTCCAATTCAATTTATATTCTCTTCCTTATTACGTCAATTGTTACTATTACTACTCTCACTTTGAACTGTCCCCTGTATTATTTCACTTGTTCCACTTGTCATTCTAAATCAATTCTTCTTTTTTACAACGTTAAATTCTATGTTATCAAATTTCACACAATATTACGTGACGTTTTTATTTTATTCGATTTGTCTCCTAATCCTATAACAATAATTCTCTAACTATTATGGAAATGTAACTATAGAGCCTAATGAAGAGGTGGTTATCGAAAAGAGCATTATTTACTTATTCCTAATCAATCTTTTGAAATAAAATTGATTTTTTTCTGAGTACTATTGTAAAACCTACCCTCATTGGTTGAATTCATATGATTTATACCAGATGTTATTGATTTCTGTTGTTGTTGGTGGTGGTGTTGTTGTTGTTCTTGTTCCATTTTGCTTGGATTTTCTTTGACATTTAATTTACTACTCACTACACTATTGTTAGTAGTATATTGTTGTTGGTGGTGTGATTGATTACTTCTATATGGTAAAGATGAATTAGACGCATTTAATTTGATAAGATTATTCTCAGAATTATTATCAGAACATGGTGAGATCGATGAAGTAGTTGAATCATTTGTTGTATCTGTGATTGATTTCTCTTGTAAGTCTTTATCGGTAAGATCTCTATCCATAGTGAATCCATTTATTGTTGTTGATGATGGTTTTATTAACTTATTGAGGAATAGACGTTGATTATCATCCTTTTTTATACTACTATTAATGATATTAGTAGTAGGAGTAGTCGTAGATGTTTTATTATTCGTTATATCATAGGTAGTAGTAGTAGTTGTATTATTATTAGTATATATAACATTCGTATTACTAGTAGTTATATGTTCATTTGATTGTGTAAGATGTATCATCTTTCCATTGGCATATGAATCATCACCTATATCACCAGATGCACGTTGATCCTGATTACTAATTAATGTATTCAGAGGATTTGATGACATAATAGTTGTATTTGATCCTGCTGTTGTTGACATTGTTATTGTTGTTGATGTAGGCGTTGTGGATGCAATTGTACTACTCCTTAATAAACATTCATCAATATTTCTATTATTCTCTTGTGACATCATGGATGGATAATATTATTTATTCTTTTCTTTTTCCTATATTTATTACTAAAAAGGATATTAGTAGTATAAAAGTTAAAAATTAAAAATAATCTTACCGGTTTTATCTGGTTGATTGTTGTCTGTTGAAACTGATTCACGTTTTTTTGTCGGGGGATAGTTAGTTTAAGAAAAGGAAATTGTACTAAAATACACCTTTCCTGTTAATAAGAAAAACACAATAAGTCAATCAGACATGTAGATAGATATAAACAACAGACATTGTGATACAAATTTAAATGCTTAAAAAGAAAGTTAGTTAATTCAGTTTCAATTGACTTTCCCGCTGATTGATTGGACAGAAGTGATTGATCTCAGGTTGACATGTTAGCTCCTTGTATGGATGCTTCAACGACGTCTTATTAGTTAATCTGAGGTGAATTGGTGGATAGTGACTAGCAGTGGAATCCAAGTGGTCTAGTGGATAACGCTTTGGCGTTTGAAATTATGGGTACTGGATGGGAACTTCAGTGGGAGCGCCATCAATCACTGAACATTGCAGGTACATGCAGATAATGCGCCCTGAATGGAACGAAGTGCACGTCGTCCTGGATTTCACTGCTGGTCACCATCGTCCAATTTACTTCAAGTAAAATGAAGTGGAAAAAGGAGTGGAATCCACCACCAGTGGAGTGGATCCTTCTAGAAGACAATGGTTAAAAACAGAATGTAAAATTCACTGATTGTTGAATTTAGATTCAAGTGGCAAAGTAGTGAGTAAACTTGAAGGCACTGGGTTCGACATCTGGTGGGGTATGGGTGCTTACAGCTGGAGAGTCCCAACATTAGGACGAAACGTCTATCTAATGCTCTCTAGTTTTCACTGTTCTTTAACTGATTTAAGTTTAATAAAATCCACACTGAAAATAGCTGAATCCATTCACAATAGGTGAAGTGTTATTATATTATTATCGTTTCCTTTAATTCCTAGAGGAACATAGGGATTCAGCCGTGCGCCTCCATTGCGTTCGGTTCTCTGCTATAGTTTTCACCTGCCTCCAAGTTTGCCCACACTTTTTCATCTCCTCTTCACATGACCTCCTCCAAGTCACCCTTGCACTGACGACCAACTCGACTCTTCCCTTTCGGGTTCCACTCGAGCGATGGCTTGTCTAGTGATGTCACTTGATGGTTTCCTCAGAGTATGGCCAATCCACCTCCATTTCTTCCTACTTATTTGTTGCACAATCGGTTCCGGCTGGGTTGGTTCGCTCCCAGAGATCCCTCACTATTGCTGATCTTTTCTGGCCAGCCAGCTGATTTTGAGTATTGAGCGAAGACAACTGTTAATGAAGGTCTGTAGTTTGTTTGAGATGCTCTTTATGACGCGCCAAGTCTCTGATCGATCCGTATAGTAGCACTGACTTCACACTGGAGCTGAAAATCCGGATCTTATTTTCATTTTCATGCTGAGAGCTGTTGACCTCCACACAGACTTGCCTGAGAGTAATGAAAGCTAGCCTTGCTTTCCCGATCTCACCAGTCCCGTCCGCCTGTAGTTGAAACGATGCTTCCCAGGTGGGTGGGCAAAGGAGGTTGCTTCTTTCAAATTTCTCCCATTTATGCTGGCTGACTGTTGTCGCTGTTACTGTTGGTCAGGAATCTTAATCACCTCTGTTCTCTCCATTTTCACCTGAAGGAAGTCCTATCTTTGATACTTCTTCTGCCAACTTGTTACTTTTCACTTGCATATCTTCCAGTTTGTAGGAAATCAGACGAATATCATCGGCGAAATCCAGATCCTAGAAGTTTTTTGTGTGGTTTCCTTTTATGTCTGTTTCCTCATTGCCGGCTGTCTGTCCCACTATCCAGTCTACTGCAATCAGGAAAATCATTGGAGATAGTAGGCAGCCAGCTTGTTTTACTCCCATCTTCACCTCGAAGCATTCCATGAGTTTCCGGTTGTGGATTACTGGGCATGCAGCATTGTTGTAAAATTGTTGTACGAAGTGTTGTTTCCTCTAAAATCAGCATAGAAATCTGTGGCATTCAGCATAATTTCAAATCAGTACTTCTGCATGAAACAGAGACTTTGTACGTCATCAAAAAGCATTTTCAACAGGCTAATGAACAGTGTTTATGTAGTTTACAGTATTTTCAGCAGAGAGTGTATTGCATGATATTTTCTCTTCACCCAGGATCTTCAAATAAAAGATTTGATTGACAGTAGATCGTACGACACACTTCTGTTTGACCTGAAGTGCAAACCAATCCATTGAGTGATATCTCTTCTTTTTCTCCTCCGAGAAATACACTACGATTCTTTGTTGAATGATAATTATAAACAGTTCACGAGTACATTTTGTGAATCAAGGACACCACTCAGGAACAGTCATCTCATGTATTGGGATAAGTTGCCATCCATACAGAATAGTGCTTTTTCTCATGTTTAGTAGAAACTTGCCAGTCAGCAGGTTCGCAGTGTTTTAAATACAGGTAGGTTCATCATCGTATTCCCATACATCATCCTGCAGCATGGTTAAGCAAGGGAGAAACAAGATCTATTCGTAGCTCTATGGTAGCACACCTTGTAGATAGTGAGCATAAGGTTGACGTTAATACTGCACTTAAAATTATTTATCGCATTCCGACTAATCTTAATTTCGCTCTACGAGTTCGTCTTCTATATACCTACAGCTGAAGCAATAGGAATCCACCTGAAGAAGCCAAACCTGTGTGTTCAGAAGAAATTTGTACAGCCACTTTCTTTACCTTGTCCATGGTTACATGAATGTATAAACCGGACTACTTCGCCCCCTCCCCTTAAACATTGAAAAATTATAAAAATTATAATGGTTCAAATTATTTTATCTTTTCTGACCACTTTTTCTTTAATTACGTGTTATCCTTGTGAAATTAGTTTATTCTAACCATTTCTATCTTTTAAATGTGTGTTGATTTTCGCTAATTATTACCCCACTGTTTGACATGTTGACACTGACTAATTATTGTTAACAAACAAACATATCAGTGCCACTTGATTGGTAAACTGTTGTGTATTGTAATAAAAAAGCTATACATGTATATTAGAGTAGAGCCAGAGATGAGGATCTAATTGGAAAGTAAATATTTCTTCCCTTAATCTTTCTGTTTTCTAAATGTCATAATGGGGATTTTTTTCTATATGTTAAATACTCGCCAGAGCAAACAGTAAATACTATTAGAGGTCATACTTTTATAGATTTAAGCAAACTGAACAACAGAAATTATACGTAATATATTGATGAAGGTTCCCGGTAGCCCAAGATTTAGGCAGGCCTCCAAGATGAGATGGTGAACCAGAAGGGATTGACAACAAAGGATTCTAGCAGTGCAATGAGCCAGTGACGAACGAACCTATTGTCCAATAAATACACAGAAGGAAACGGAGATAGATTGTACATATACCGAGGAGACCGTTGAATGACATCACACCCAAGGTAGACCCTCAAATGGAAGCCAAATGGAAAATGCCGAGGCGGAAGTTGATCTGATGGTAACTTGCACATCATATGCGGAAAAAATACTCAGGGGAAAAGGATCAAATGATGATGTACAGCTGAAGCTCTGGGTTCCACTCGGAACCCAACGGAATGATGATAATAATAATAATAAATAATAATAACAAAGACTTACCTTCTTTAAAAGTTTTCCTTTCAATAAACGAGTATATTTTGTGAAATACTTTTTTTATATAGATATTTAGATATCAGTAACGATATGATAAACAATATATATTATTTTTTTCCAATTAGAAAAGGATTAAGTAAATAGATATGGAGAGAAAAAAGTGTACAATTTTTATGCTGTCTGTAGTCACTTCATTCAACAGAATCTATATTGTTGCCTTCTTTTAATTTACTAAGCAGCAATCGATTAAAAATATTTGAATTGATCGAATCAGCATTACACTATATATATAATACAGTATATAGACAGTTCAGCGTATAATTTAAAGTTATTGATTAAAGTTATGATAGGATAAGATGAATTTCTTGTCTCACTCTGTATTACAATATTTCCTTATAACTGGGAATGAAGTGTAGATTGCAGTGTTCTGCCGAATATTATTTTGTTATTATTATTATTATTCTCTAAGGTTCCAATAGAACCTACGCCTTCAGCAGCCCACTATTTTAAGCTGGCTTCACATTTCCCCTTAAGCTTTTATTTCATCCTAATACGATCTACTCCATATCACTCGCTTATTCACGCCGACGTTATCAGTTCCCATTCGGATTCCACTTTAGGGTTTAGACCGTGACGACACTCAACTGTCTTCTCAGCATATGTCCGATCCATCTCCATATCTTCCTTGGTTGGTGCTTTTATTGACTAACCATCTTACCTTTAGTACTGAGCTGGTGAATGTGACTATTGTTGAATGCACAAAAAATACCTATCCAGACATGAGTATAAGGTCAAACATTCCATATTAATTTGTTTATTACATATGTCAAACAATGAAACAATATTTTTGATTGAACACTAGTCAGTAACTAGTGTAATGTGTCTAGTCCTATCTTCGGTGAAGACTGAATTCTATCAGTCATGTTTGCAATGTGGCCACCATGCTAGGTGGCTCGCCATTACGGTGCACTGTGAATTGTTGGTATTAGATGGTTGGAGGCAATCGGCAGGAAGCCTTGGACCTAGGTTTCGTGCTAGTTGGCACTCACCAGTCAGCAAGGAAGGAACTGATGTCCCTTCTGAGATTCGAACCCGTGTCACCCAGTCGCGAGCCTGAATAGCTCAATGGTAACGTCTCTGACTGCAGCACTGGGTGACGCGGGTTCGTTTCTTTTCCACGAAATCATCAATTAGATAGAGCTGTACAGTCACGTATTTATGGTGAATGGGTGAGAAAGAGTTCCAGAACTGTTTCCGTTCAACACTCAAATTAATAAAATTACAAAGTGGAATAAACAGGAAGTTCGGATAACAGAAAAACATAGCAGGATCATTATTGCTGAGAAACTTAA